TGCTGCTGCTGCTGCTGCTGCTGCTGCTGCTGCTGCTGCTGCTGCTGCTGCTGCTGCTGCTGCTGGGGCGGCTCGCAGCAGCAGCGGCTGCAGGCTGCAGCAGCCGCTGGGGCAGTCTCAAGAAGGGACACAGCAGCAGCTGGGGAAAGTTAACTGCAGCAGCAGCATCTCGGAGAGAGAGGGCCCCCATTTGCTGCAGCAGCAAACCTTCCAGGTCCAGCAGCAAGTCAGGGCACCACTGGGGGCCCCTCCCAAGGGCCCCTCTTCTGATGCACAAGTCGGGCTCCTTGGGGGCCCCCTGAGGGGCCCCTGCAGCTCCCCTTCCTTCTGCTGCTGCTGCTGCTGCTGCTGCTGCTGCTGCTGCTGCTGCCCCAGGCATGGACTTGCCGTCTGGGGAGTTTGCTGCTGCAGGGCCCTCTTCTTTAGGGTACAGAAGACTCCGGGGCCCCTTGAGGTGCCCCTGGGGGCCCCCCAGGGGCCCCTGGGGGCCCCCCTCTGCCAAGATGCGCAGCAGGGTACAGAGCTGCCCGGGCTGCAGCTGCTGCAGTCCCCCGTGCAGCAGAAACAGCAGCTGCCCCCAGATCTCATCTGCAGCAACAGGGGCCCCCGGGGGGCCCCCTAGCTGCTGCTGCAGCGGCCGCTGGGGGCCCCCCGGGGGGGCCCCCCGGAGGGGGGCCCCCCGGCAGGCCCGCCGGGCCCTCCGCACTGCTGCTGCCACAGCTGCAGCAGAAAGGCCCCGCTCAGCCCTCATGAGGGGTTCTTGCTGCAGCTCTTTGGCGAGCTGCAGCAGCTCGGGGGGCCCCAGCTGGGCCAGCAAATGGGAGGAGAAGGGCCGCGGGAAAAATGCCAAAAAGGGGGCCCCCGGGGGGCCCCCCACGCGCCCGGGGGGCCCCCCAAAGGCCGCCGCAGGGGCCCCCACGCGCCCCCCGGGGGGGCCCCCTAAGGCCGCAGCCACGGGGGGGCCTCTTGGCAGCAGCTCGGGGGGCCCCCAGCCTCGAGGGGGGGGGCCCCCTAAGAGAGGAGGGGCCCCCGGGTGGGGGGCCCCCCAGCGGCGGCTCTGGAGGGCACTGGGGGGCCCCCAGGGGCCCTTTATGCCCACGGGGTGGGGCAGCGCCTGCAGCAGGAGGGGGGGCCCTTGTGGGGCCCGCTGCCTGGGGGCCCCTAGGAGGCAAGTCCTCATCTCCCAGCCCCGAGAAGTACCCTCTTGTGATCGATGGGGGCCCCCGGGGGCCCCTGGGGGCCCCCGGGGGCCCCTGAAGGTGGAAGACTACCGGGAGGCCCCCTAGAGAGGAGGCCCCTGCCCTGAAGAGGGGTAGCAGGGGCCCCCCAGGCACAGGGGGCCCCCTAAGGGTACTGTTGGCTAGCTGCGTCGGGGGCCCCCCTGGCTCCTGAGGGGGCCCCCAGCCCCCCAAATGCAACAAAGAGTTGAATTTAATAAATTAAACTTTAATTTATTTCTTTTTGTTGCATTAAGGCGGGGGAAAAGGCACAAAAGAACCCCCAGTCGTTGCGGGGGGCCCCTCAAGGGCCTCATCGGGGTACCCCCCTGGGGTGGGTCTGGGGCCCCCGTTGGGGGGCCCCCCAGTTTGGGGGCCCCAGGGGCCCCTAAAAGTACCTCTCAGGTACTAATTAACTTTTTAAATTTGTTTTCAAAAAATATAACTCCAAAAGACGCGCCCAGGGCTGCCCTCTAGCTGCTGCTGCTGCTGCTGCGTCTTGCTGCTCTCCAGAGGGGCCCCCGGGGCCCTCAGGGGGCCCCTCAAACAAAGGGCAGCTTTAGGCGCCACCGTGGGGGCCCCTCTCTACAGACAGAGGGGGGGGCCCCCAACCGATCCCCGCAGCAGCACCAGCAGCAGCAGCAGCAACAGCTACAGCAGCAGCAGCAGCAGCTACAGCAGCAGCAGCAACAGCTACAGCAGCAGCACTAACAGCAGCGACAAGACCAGCAACAGCAACAGCTACAGCAGTAGCTCCAGTAGCGCCGGCAGAAACAGCAAGTGCAGCAGAAACAGCGCCAGCAGCGACGGCAGCAGCAGCAGCAGCAGCAGCAGCAGCAACAGCAGCAGCAGCAGCAGCAGCAGCAACAGCAGCAGCAGCAGCATCAGGAAGATGTCTGGGGTCTCTTGGTCGAGGCAGTAGAGGGCCTCTCTCACCGCTGCTTCTTTCCTCAAGAGCCCGCCTGCTGCTGCGGCAGCAGCAGTCTCCTGCAGGTATTCCTTCTTGCATGCGCAGCAGCTCCTACAGGGCCGCTCACTGCCACACAAGTGGGACTTGGGGGGCCCCCCAAGGGGCCCCCCAGGGGCCCCTCCAAGCTGTTTGAAGACCCAGGGGCCCTTTGCTGCTGCTGCTGCTGCTGCTGCTGCAGCTGCTGCGGAAGGCTCCTCTTCCACAGCAGCCCGAGGGGGGCCCCAACCTCCTGGTGCTGCAGCAGCAGCACGAGAAGCACAAGGTGGAAAGGTAGCAGCAGCAGCAGCAGGATCAGCAGCAGCAGCAGCGGGACCAGCAACAGCAGCAGGGCCAGCAGCAGCAGGACCAACAGCACCATCAGGACCAGCAGCAGCAGTGGGACCAGCAGCAGCAGCAGAACCAGCAGCAGCAGCAGAACCAGCAGCAGCAGCAGAAACAGCAGCAGCAGCGGGAGCAGCAGCAGCAGCAGCAGAACCAGCAGCAGCAGCAGAACCAGCAGCAGCAGCAGCAGCAGCAGCAGCAGCAGCAAGAAGGGGCCCGCGCATGACTGTGGGGCAGCGGCGGGCTGAAGACCGGAGGCTGAATTGGCACCGGCATTACATATATGGTCCAGTGGACCCCACAGCTTCAGTGAGTTCGAAGTCAGCAGCAGCAGCAGCAGCAGCAGCAGCAGCAGCAGCAGCAGAGCCTCCGGAGCAGCTGCTGCGGCTGCCGCCCCACCAAAAGCCCCGCAGCAAGCGCTGGAGCCTGCTGCAGCAGCTGCAGGTGGGAGAAGCTGTGGTGGCAGCAGCAGCAGCAGCAGCAAAGGGGGCCCTCAAGGAGGCCCTGGAGGCCCGGGGGGCCCCCGAGGGCCCCCGCCGCAAGAAAGGGGCCCCCGGGGGCCCCCAGCAGGGGGCCCCCCTGAGGGTACTAATGAGACAAGCTGCGCTGCGGGCAGCAGCAGCAGCAGTGGAGGAGGCCCTGAAGGAGGTGGAGGCCCTCGAGGGGGCCCCCGGGGGGCCCCCCCTGCAGGGCGCCGCGCTGTGGGAGGGGGCCCCCGCTGCTGCTGCTGCTGCTGCTGCGGGCGACGCAGCAGCAGCAGCAGCAGCAGCAGCAGCAGCAGAGAGCCGGAAGCAGCAAATCGAGCGCATGGGGCCCCGCACGATCTACGCAGCAGAACTGAAGAAGCTGCTGCGGAACAGAGCAGCACTAGCAGCAGCAGGAGTGCTGTCGGAGCGCAGCAGCAGCGGGGCCCCCCCCGCTGCTGCTGCTGCTGCTGCTGCTGCTGCTGCTGCTGCTGCGGGGGGGGGCCCCCCGACCCTCGCAGAGGCCCTGCTGCCCCGCGGGGGCCTCCCGCTGCCCCCCAGTGCTGCGCTGCTGCTGTGTCAGCTGCTGGCAGCAGCAGCATTTGACGAGACTGTCGAGGTGCATGTACACCTCAAGAGACGCAGCAGCAAAGACACCCACCTGCTGCAACCCCACAGAGTCCAGGGCTTCTTCACCCTCCCTTACGGGGTCATTCCCTCTCTTAGGGGCCCCCAGGGGGCCCCCCAGGGGGGCCCCCAGGGGGGCCCCCAGGGGGCCCCCCAGGGGGGCCCCCAGGGGGGCCCCCAGGGG